AGGCGAGGCTGAGGCTGAGGCCGAGGCAGGCTGAGGCTGAGGCTGAGGCCGAGGCTGAAGGCAGGCTGAGGCTGAAGCTGAAGCAGGCTGAGGCTGAGGCAGAGGCAGGCTGAGGCTGAGGCTGAGGCAGGCTGATGCTGAGGCAGGCTGCGGCTGAGGCTGATGCAGGCTGGGGCTGAGGCTGAGACTGCGACTGCCGTTGCCACTGCGACTGCCATCGCGAATGCGACTACGACTGCGAGAACAGCAGAATTCGACAACAAGGTTCTCATCGGAATCTTAAGGGGGATGCTTCCAGATACGCCCCTACACGTCGCTGTTAGGTTGCTTTGCCGGGGTAATTTTCTTCTCACATGCGGCCCCCCGCCCCCCGTCGGCGCGGCGCTCGAACGGGCGGCTCTCCAGGGAATAGTCCGCAGCGAGTAGCACCGTTCCAAATGCCAGCAATCCGTGCGCGGCTGCTTTGCAGGCAGTCGCCGGGAGAGGGGGCAATTAGAGGCGCGCCGATGCTGCGCCAGAGGGGGGCAAACATAATGGACAGGCGGCGGGGGATGCCTGCAAGTTGGCCAGCTCGCGGAAATGAGATAGATGTGCTACCAGGAGGTCATGCCGCTTTGCAACATCCTCGACACTCGCGCGGTCGACCGGAAGTTCCCCGTCAGCGGGCGGGCGCCAGCGACAGGCAAACGGGCCTCTGTACCGTTGAGCCCTACACACCAAGCAATCGATCATCTGAGTGTCCAGGGCCACTGGCGTTTGCACCTCCTCCCTGGGCGCCTCCACCGCCCGCGCCACGTCGGCGCGGTGGCCCCTTAGAAGTCTGCGCTCCGGACGAAACGGCGCCCCCTTGGATCGCAGGCCAGCCCTCGCGAGCTCCGCCACCGCGAGTTCGGGCCTGCAAACGAGGCCCCCGTGCCGCGCGACGAGGGCGCGATGCGTTGCAGACGCCGGGCTGCCCGCGCCAGCGCCGTGGAGCACTGCGGCCATGTAGTCGCTACGTTGTAGTGGCACCACTACATTGCAGTGGCGCCACAACTCGAACGCATCCTCAAACTCTGGGAGATAATCTACGCGGCCTTTCGCCCAGGCGGGCCAGCGGACGCGCGCTGCTTCGTCTCTCGCCCCCCGCGAGAGCCAACCCGCGTCGCCCATCCTCCGAGCCCGCTTCGCCCCGCTGGCAGAGTTCGCGGCCGCCCTTCGACGGCGCCCCGATCCACCTGGGGGGGGGAATTGCGAAAGCAGCGTGACGTGGTAGTTGTTTCCTTTTCCTGGGGGGAAGAAGACGGGAAGGCAGGCAGGCAGATGTTTTAACAAGCTGGCGCGCTTCTGCTGCGCCATCGGCCCGAAAGACCCGTCGGCCGCCTGGTCGGCTCGCGCGTGCGCGCCAGAACCACCAGCGGACGGCCCTTCTCATCCTCTGGCGGAAACTCCAACGGCGCGAGGTGCAGATCGTGCTTCCACGCGTGGCGGCCGTTGAAGGAGACGCACCCGTCCCACCTGCTCCGACGCACCTCGACGTCGAAGTTTTGCCCCAAGTAACTCCGGAGGACGTGCGCACCCGTTTTCCAGATGCCCTGCGCGACAACGCGCGGCCGCTGGTACCGGCCGTCTGCGTTGAGCTGCAGGTGGTCGCCCTGCATGCGACAAAACCCCACGGGCGTGCCCGCCACAGGTACAGGCAGCAAAGCGTGGAGGGGCACCTCCTCGAAGTGCAGCGGGCCCCCTGGGAATGGGTCGATCTCCGCTCCGACCGGAGTCGAGCGCCGTCGAAGTGTGGTCGGAGTCGATCAGGCGGAATCTATTGGAACCAATCGGGATCGATCGCGCTCGGGGTCGGATCGAGCGCGGGCCCGACGGGGATCGCTCGGCACTCGGGCTCGAAGAAGCCCCGTCAGACGCGTTCGGAATCGGACTCAGAATCGAGCGGAGTCGATGGAAATCGAAATCGGAATCGCCAAACATCAGACTCGGCTTCGTCGCCCTCGAATTTTGGCCCCGTGTCCGCGTAGTCCACGGCGCCCGTCCTCGCGTCGTCGGGCATGCGAGGCGGCGCCGACGCATCGGCGGGCAGCGGCGGCGGCGGTGGAAGCCCAGCCGCTAGGATCTGATCGGTCGTGAGGGCTCTGCGGGCCTGCCCTGCAACAGCGCGCGCTGCCGCGCCACTCGTGCTCTGGCGCGCAGTCTCCCAGGCGGCCACAGGCGCGGCGAAGGCCTCGGCGCATTCTCGCGCGATGCGCCTCTTCGACGCAAGCTCGGGCGCGTCCGCCGGACTGTCCAACTCCGCATCGGCGCCCTCCGCAATGAAAGGCGCCTCAGCAGGCGGCCCAGACGACGAAGGAACAGCCCCGAGGGCAGGCGCCGCGGCCCCTTCTTCGCGCGCGGCAGCACCAGAGTGGGCCGCAATCGTCGCGACGGGGATCTTGCCGCCGACAGCGCCAGGCAGCCCCGGCGACATCTCCGGGCCAGCGTCGGGGACGGGCGGCGGCGCCGGCAGCGCGAGCAACGGCGTCGGGGGCACGTGCTCGAGCGACGGCGGCGCCCCGCCCTCCGACCAGGGCCCGAGGAGAAGCGGCGGGGCGGCCGACTCGCCGTGGATCCACAGCTCAGAGGTGCTGAAAAACAAGAGAGTGCGCAAGTCGTCGGCTGTGAGATCGGGTGCGCCCACAGCCGATCAAGGGCGAGGCTGCCGCGGCGTCGAGAGCCGCGACGGGGGGCGGCGCCCAAGGAGAACCTCGATCCGCTCGTCGACGGAGGAAAGAAGCGGCGCGCGGCCAGCAATGGGAAAGCTCACCTGCTCCGCGCGCGGCGGCGCGCGGCTCCCCGGCTCCAGCCCCATGGACTGCTCGGCCTCGGACGGTCCAGGCGCGGGCGGCTCCTCTGGCAGCGGCGGGCCCGGTTGCTCTGGGGGCCCCTGGCGCGCGCCCCCGAACCAGCGCATCTCCCGCCGTTTCACCTGCGAGTCGGCGGGGGGGGGGGGGGGACATGAGGGAGAGAAGGGCGTGAGAGGAACATGGCGGCCCGCCCGATGTGTAAATTATGCCGATTCACCTTGCTCTCCCGATGCTTGCCCCCCCGCTTGTGCCTCGCCGAAACGGAGCCCTTGGCTTCCCACGGCGCAACGCTCTGGACGGGGCCGGCGCGCTCGGCTGCACCGTGGCCCCCCCCCTCGTCGCGCCAAGGAGGCGTGGCGGGTGCCTTCGCCTCTGCGGCAGCGGCCCTTCTCGAGGCGGAGGACCACCGCCAGGCGTTCCGCCAACCGCTGTCGGAGGCGGAAGAGGACCACCAGTCGCCGTCGGAGGCGGAGGAAGACCACGGCCACCCGCTCCACCAACCACCCCAGGCCATGGCATCTACCAGGGGCACCGGTAACGCGAGCAGCGAACGTGCAACGCTGAACGGCAACGCGTGCTCGACCCAACGCAGCAGCAAAGAACGAGAACACATGCATGACGCCTCTTCCCCCTTTTTCCCGTGTTCCTTTTCGTCCTCTTCCTCCTCTTCCTCCTCCTCCTCCTCCTCCTCCTCCTCCTCCTCCTCCTCCTCCTCCCCCTCCTCCCCCTCCTCCGCCTCCCCCTCCCCTCCTCCTCCTCTCCTCCTCCTCCCTCTCCCTCCTCCTCCTCCTCCTCGCCCCCCTCCTCCTCCTCCTCCTCCTCCTCCTCCTCCTCCTCCTCCTCCTCCTCCTCCTCCTCCTCCTCCTCCGGGCGCTGGTGGACCCTGCCATTGGGACCTTCACCGGGACTCCCTCATTGTGGGGCCACGGAGCGTGCGAGAGGTGCGCTGGAATTGACCTGCGGAGAGCGGGCGCAAGGATGGGAGGAGGGAGGAGGGGAGGAGGGAGGAAGGAGGAGAAAGATGAGGTGAGGGCCGCGGGGCACTGCCCCTTGCATAGCGAAGACCCAACGCCACGTAATGGCTGGGAGATAGCATACACTCATAAACCCTGATAATTTGAAATAAAAGCAATAACGACTACAAAAACATTCGAACGAATAGTGTATACGTTCAATAAAACGAAGAAAAATGGTTTTACAATGAAAAGCAACATAAACAATGTAAAACCTGAATAAACAATAGAAGATCCGATTTTTTCCAGTTAACAATCTCACCGGCGAGTAGACTGCCTTCCCTACAAGACCCTTGAATCAGGCTAACCGCCATGCCCTCCGCGCGCGCTGGCCCTTCGCCAGCGCCAAGCCCAATCGAACTATGGTGGAGCAAACATTGACTTCCTTGTGCAATTTCAGTGTAATGTGATTTCGTGGGCGATCACGCAATCAGAATATCAAAAACAACGCCGCAAACAACATCCAACACGGCATCAAAACCGTCCGCTCGGCTGAACCGAAAACACGGCCACGAAACTGTCCGGAGGACCCCACACCCTGCCGTCAACCTCAGGCGCAGGTCAGTCTCTCTATCTCTCTCCCTCTTGTTATTTTTGTTTTCTCTCTCTCTCTCTGTCTATCTCTCTCTCTCTCTCTTTCTCGCGCTCTCGGTCTGTCTCTCTTCGGCGTTTGCACGCCGAGCGCGCCGATGCGACGCCCCCCCACTCTCAGACGTAGGGGAGCTGCCAAGGGGAGGTCATGTGAAATAGTGACAGCTGTAGGGTTCGAACCCACGTCCTTACGGAATGGCGCCTTGAGTCACCGCCTTAGACCGCTCGGCCAAATTGTCCCTGTTGAAAGCGGCCTCGAGCGGCCCCTCCCCCGATCTGATTTGGCGCGGAAATCCGCCGCGGCTGGCGGGGGATTGCCTGGAAAGCAGCGGGGCTGCCCGAGGGGGGGATGACACCAGCTGCCACTTTCGAGCACATGCGCAAGTTGTTCTCGTGCGCGCGTTTGCCAATCGTTAGCTTCAACCTGCTCGTTGCACCGGACAATGTCTAATAAACAGGATTCGAAAAGCGGATCGGCAACAACTGCATGAGCTGCTACAGCGCTCAGCAACAGACGGCGAATCGAAGAGAATGGAACAGGATGGGCGGAAAGCACAAAGGCGACCAATGCAATGCAATCGCGTAGCCAGAGCCCACGTCCAGCTGGTCGTAATCCCCCACCTTCAGCCAGGTCACGGCCTCCTCGGGCAGGCTTAGGCCGAGCTACGTCGGGGAGCAGATCAGCCCCCGCCGCACCCCCAGACGGATCTCGAGTGGAGCCGGCAGGCGGCTGCTCTCTCTCCCTCTCTCTCTCTCTCGCTCTCTCTCTCTCTCTGCCTCTCCCTCCCTCCGTGTACAGATGTGAAACGCAGGACAGGGCAATGCCATGACAGAGTGCTCTCATGCCGCATGCCGATTTTCGAAAGCTGTTGGGCGGCCCTGTGCAGGTCTTGGGCCGTCCTGGCGCTGGCTCGCTCTTCATTCGTTCCTCCTCGTTTCATCCTACTCGCTACATCCTCATCCCGCCTCCCTCTACTCACTCGTTCGTCGATCGTCTCTTCTCTCTCGTCACTGCTCCATCCTCTCGTTTCCGCTTCTCCGCTGCCCCGCTCTTGATTGTTCCGTCTTACGTCCTGCTGACCCCTTCCTCGCTCCGCCATCCCTGCTCCCTCACCGTTCTCAGCTCGAAACTCCACACTCATTGTTGTTTCATCATCCCTGCTGATTCCTCTTATTTCATTTCCTGTGCATCTATCTCATTATCCTCCATCACCTCCGTCGCTCCCTCTCCTGCTCGACCTACGGGAAAATAGCATGAGTGTCCCAGCGGCGACCAAGAAGGAGGGATCACATCTACTATTTTCCAAATTCCGCGTGGAAGAGACCTCATCACGGCCGAACAAGGCATGGGAAGGCTAGGTCCGAAGACTGTCCCATGCTGGCCACATGAAAATAACAAACGTCTCGACCCCCCCTGCTCAAACTCTCAATTGCGTGAGCGCGGGGTGCTTTTTTGCACTGGCCCTCCCCAGATCATGCCTCTGTCCGACTGGCTCGGGGTCTCTAGGGAAACGCCTGGGGGCGCCTTCGGGGCCTCTCGGGGGAGGGGATGAGGGGGGGAACTGTGGTGTCTTTGGGGCCGTCTTGAGGGGTCTTGCGACTGGATTGGGCTAGTCTTCGGTCGGTGAAACAGCACTCTAGAAACCAAGCTGCCAAACAAACTACCCTGGCGATGAACCTAATCATATACTTCTGAGACTACAGCCAGGCAGACGGGAACTAAGGGATGCCTCATCACGTCCGAGCAAGGGATGGGACGGCCCACGAAAGGTCCGAAGACTGGCCCACGGTGGCCCCCTGAAAAAAACACATTTCTATATCTCACTTTCTCGAACTATTGATTGCGTGAGCGCGGAGTGTTTTTTTGCGCTGGTCCTCCTCAGATCATGCCTCTGTCGGACTGGCTCGGAGTCTATAGGCTGGCCTGCTGGGGGCGCCTTCGGGGCCTCTCGGGGAGGGGGGGGAGGGGGGGAGTGGTGTTTTGGAGGCCGTCTTGGGGGGTCTTGCGGCTGCATTGGGTTGGTCTTGATCGGTGAAACAGCACTCTAGAAACCAAGCTGCTAACAAACAATTCGCCTGGCGATGAACCTAACGAGATGCTCCAGTGAGCACCTCAAGGCAATCGGGAACTGCAGGAGGGGGCTAGCCAAGTATCCTGGCGAGCGACACAACAATCTGCAATTGTGATGACCGCCGTTGTGGGAACCGCCTTCGGTGGAGCTCCCTACGAGGCCACGAAACGTGTGAAAGGAGCACAGAGATGGGGCGGGACCGCCATGCGGGCGCTGCTGCTGGGGCCGCCCGCAGAGGGCGCGGAAATCATACGAAACGAGTTACATGCTGATGCAATCCGTTGCGGCTGACAGGCGCCGGGAGAAACGAGAGAAGACATGCGGGCGCAGCCTGGAGCTCTCTCTTGGGACACGAAACGTGTGAGGGGTGTGCCGAAGCAGAGACATGCGGTGGGCAGGTGCAGGCATGTGGAGGAGGGATGAGCGCTGCTGATCCAAAACGAAGACCCAACACCACATGCTGGTTGGGATCAACACTGTATCCCTTGGCGAAAAGCGGCAGGGCTGAAGGGTGTCCCCCCGCTGGTGAGTGGCAGCAGGATGGCCCCGCGTAGGACTAGTGTGGAGGAACATGGGTACTTCCTTGATGAGCAGGAGAAGTAGTAGCAAGATGTGAGAGCAATAACGAATGAGAAGGCGAGGGCGAAGGGGGGATGGGTAGAGGACGGCGGCATGAGCGCAGACGCTGTGCTCTCTCGAAGAGGTCACATTCAACGGAACTGAGCCGATGGTGAGCAAAACTGTGAAGCCTGACGCTGGGCAAGGCAGTGTCCACAGGGACGGTGCCTGAGCATGGGACCTGAGAAAACTTGGGCGCCTGGGGTATTGGAAAGCTTGGAAAAGCAATGCATGTTATTGACATTTCCCATGTGATGGGCCTGTCTTCCATCACCACCACCATAAGTTGGAGGGAGAGGGGGTCCTCCTCCTCCTCCTCCCTCTCCTCCTTCTCCTCCTCCTCCTCCTCCCCTTCCTCCTCTTCTTCCTCCTCCTCTTCCTCCTCCTCGTCCTCCACCTCCTTCCCCCCTCAAGTTGTGGTGATGGTGGTGGTGGTGGAAAACAAGCCCATCACCATGGTGCTGAGAGAACGCACACGGCCGCCGAGAGCGACGTAGGCCTAAAACAACAACAAGCCAAAACAACAACAAACATAAACAGCGGCACGCAGCCCTCCCATCACTCAGAGAACGATGCCGCACGCGCCGCCCCAAGCCTGCCGCCTGAGGTCGGGGAACCTTGCACCCCTCGACGACCGCGTGGGGAGCGCGGTGCGAGTTAGCGGGGCACAGTATCACCCGCGCAGCCCATAGGCAGGTGGCCAGCACCCCAGAGAGCCTCGCCCGCCCACCCAGTAGGTCGGAGCGCCCCTGGCCTCAAAACCTTTGAAACCCAGTCGGGCACGAAGGGGGGGCGCCCACAAAGGGACCGCTCGGTGGAGAAGCATCAGGCCCTGAGGACCGAACTGCACCACCCGGGGACCAACCCAGGGTGTGCAGTCTAGGAGCCACGGTGCACCAGCCATTCCTACCGCAGCGCAGCCCCCACAAAGGCCACGACTTGGCGGAACTTGGTTCCCCCAAGAACCGCGACGCCCCGCACGCGTCGAAGCACCCTCGTGAGGGCGGGAGGGATGGGAGGAGGCGGAGCAATCGCGATAGCGGAGACAGCCCACAGCCAAGCCCCTTCCCAAACTTGCGAGTTGAGAGGGCCGACGCTGCATCGCGCTTACTCCTATTCTTGTTCCAGGCATCCTGTCATTCCCCCGGATCCCCCCGCGCTCCGGGCCCCCGCTTGCGCCAAGCCCGTACCAGGAGCAGGCCAAGAAGTGGCTGATGAGCGCCATTACCAGCATGACGCGGGTGACGCCGAGCACGACCACTGACATCTGAGGAAGGATGGGGACGGGGGAGGAAGGGACCCGCGAGGGGGACCTTTCGATGAGACAAGAGGCGAAGACGGAGAAGGACTCAATGCCATGGTGAAGAGAAAAGAGAAGTGTTCAACGAATCCACGATCCGGGAGGGGGGCCGTTCAAGTGAAGTTTTCGTCATCCTGGCAGGGGGCCAAGGGCCAGCGACAGACCCCGCTACCAGGGAAACCACCCGTCGTCGCCCTCCTCGGGCAAGACGCTCGCAAGCTCCCGGACTCGGAGTCGGGCTCTGAGGACCCGTGCCTGGCCCTCGTTCAAACCGAACGCCTGAAGACTATATGCAAGAAATCGAGCAATACGCTCCTTTGCCCTGTGCCGTCCAAGCTGGTCCCTGCACTTTCCACGAACCCGCCACCAAACAACTCCTGAGCCTGGACTCCCGCTCGGCTGGGGTTCACTAGCCAAAATAGACTCGCAGTGAACTTCTGTCCCGCCCCTCTACTCCTCCCTCGTCCTTCTCCTTAGCCTCATCCTCCTCCTCCTCCTCCACCCTCCTCTAACGCCTTTCCTACTCTCCTGGTGCTTCAGAGCTTTTGATTGTGATTATTGAGGGTGAATATATTTTTTGGTGCGTCGACCGTGTGGACAGTACACCGAGAGCACCATGAAAGGGCTCAAATGATATTACAAGAAGCGTTTCCAGAGCAATTCTAAGGAAGCGCGAACCCTTTTGACAAGAAGCCGTCATCCCAAAAACAACTTGAAGGCCGCCAGCCGCCTGTCCCGTCCCATCCCCGCTGCCAGGCTCTTCGAACTGGGAGCCAGAAATGCAGCCGCCGTGGAAGCATGGGATAGGTGATGTACAGGCGATCGGAGCCTGAGGTATCTGGTTGGGCCTGGTCGACCAACACTCTGCCTCCTCCCTTCTTCTTTCCTCCTCCTCCACCCTTCTCCTCCTCCACCTCCTCCTCCGCTTCCTTCTATCTCCCCTACTACCTCGTTCTCCTGCCTCGTTCTCTTTAGCTCCGCCTGCATCCTCCCTACTCCTCCGTCCTCCCCTCCTCCGCCTCGCCCCCTGGACTGCAGCCCCGACTCCAGCGCGCCGATCGTCCCCACCGACGGACGGCCCTTGCAGCTTGGGAGCAACAGCGGAGGGGGCGCGGTGCCCACCTCGGAGCGGAGATAGTACTCCACCGAGGGTGACACCTCCGCGATCACCTCCGCTCGGCTGCGCCCAGAGGCGCGCGGGGCGGAAGATGCCGGTACACGTGAGACGTGGCCAAAGGCAAAAGAAAGGCCTGTGGTAAGGGGCACTGCGATGCGCGCACGCGATGCGACACTGGCGGCATGCGTGCTTGGGCTTGGGTCCCCCCTCGCCCCCCGAGAGCCGAGACAAGAGGTCACTCCGGCGAAAAGCCACTCTTTCTTGTAGCAAAACATGGAGGAGCAGGGGCGTTCGCCGGGGAACTCCACAGCAACTGGAGCATTCGTTGTGAAGCTCTGCAGCGATTGTGGCGTTCGCCATTGTGCTTTGCAGCAGGGGGCAGGATGAAGAAAGGGAGGATGTGGCGGAGAAGAAGGGCGAGGAGGAGGAGGAGGAGCAGGAGGGGGGGCAAGAGCAGGGCGAAGGGAGTACGATCTGATTGTGGCAACTTCTTGGGGGATTCTTGGCTAGATCGCACTACCAACTTGCGCTTTCAGGGGAACCGGGGCACCACTCGATATGTAAACACCCGCCGCCAGGAACTCAATCAAGAGGAGGATCAAGAAGAAAATGGCATACAGGCTAGAAGCTGTCGGTATTCAACATCTTCAACCTCAGCAGTACACGATGAGTGGAGGTTCTGGCAATCCGACGCCGAGTGGCAGGTGGACTTCGATGGTTACAGTGTGAAGTTGGAATCACGATCTCAACCTCTGCCAACGAACCTTTGCATTATACGACCACCTTCATGCGCAGCCCACAGTGTGGAGATCACGAGAGCAAACATGCTCAGACTTGTCTAGAAGGGAGAAGGAGCCAGTCAGTATTACCTACATTTGACGCTGGGATCAAGCGGCCCCAAGGAGCCCGAATTGATTCCAAAGAGGTCACCACAGGCCTCAGAGTCCCTAGGAATACCCCAATAGGCCCCAAACAAGCCGCCCAAAGGCCGCCAAAAGCATCCAATGAGAATCCGCGAAGCATCCAACATGCCTCTGACCCACGACCCAGACAAAGTGGCAAGACGCACTGACGCAACTGAACTTCAGTGGGGACCTGCTCCGGCAAGGTTCACGCGAGAGCTCGGGGATGCAAGTGTAAGCGAGAAGACAATGTAGGCCAGCGAAATGAACGACGCGCTTGAATGATACTTTGGGTCCGAACTCAGATCCGCCACCGTGCCTCTGGGAACGGAGTGGGCGTGTCATCAGGTCCTTTGCCCAAAGCCCTGAGCCTCAGTTTTCAGTCCTGAGGAGTCAATTAGGGGCCCGGACCCCAATTCTCAAATCTTAATTGGCTTGGCGCGTGACTTGCCGGGCCTGTCGCGTGGCATTTTCGGGCCCGAGAGGGCCCAAAGACAAGCCCAGAGGTCTCTCAGAGGCTCCAAGACGGTCCAAGAGAGCCCCGATTCGCCGAACGATCGCCCCAGGACGCCCACAATAGCCTGCAGACGGCCCAAGAGGCCTCCAAGACTCCCAAAGAGGCCTCCAAGAGGCCTCCCAAGAGGACTCCAAGAGGCCAGAATCATGTATCTTCCTTACGCTTTTGAAAGACTTTGGGGTTCTCGCCTTGACGGTTTCCCGACGCTGCCAGACCGCCCTAGATGCCCCCAGAGGCCCCCAAGAGGCCCCCAAGAGGCCCAAACAAGGCCCCAAGAGGCCTCCACACGGCCGCCAAGAGGCGACCAGTCTGCTTCCAAGAGGCCTCCGAGAAGCGTCCCACGAGATCCCAAAGAACATCCAATCGGCTTCATCCCCACAATCCAGGCACGGTGGCGGAATGGGCCGAAAGCCATTCGACCTGGCCCGGCACGGAAACGGAAAGAGCGCCTCAAACAAATTAACCGAAATTACTCGTACCCACCGTTCGTACTGGGAGCCTTGGCGTTGAGAGCTTGTTACGTCACCATCCTCCTCCTCCTCCTCCACCTCCTCCTCCTCCTCTTTCTCCTTCCCCTCCTCCTCCTCCTCCTCCTCTTTCTCCTTCCCGTCTTCCTCCTCCTCCTCCTCCTCCTCCTCCTCCTCCTCCTCTTCCTCTTTCTCCTCCATTTCCTCCTCTATCTCCTCCTCCTCCTCCTCCTCCTCCTCCTCCTCCCCTCCCCCCTCCTCCTCCTCCTCCTCCTCCTCCTCCTCCTCCTCCTCTTCCTCCTCCTCCTCCTCCTCCTCCTCTTCGGGCGCGCTTGGGAGCCTATTGGGGCCCTCTTGGGCTCTCTTAGAGCCCTCGGGGGCCTCTTGGCCGTATTAGGGCCGACTGGGGGCCATATGGGGCCGTTGTGGGCCCCTTTGGGGCGCCTCGGGGGTCGTCTTGGGATGATCTTCGGGGCCTCTTAGGCAGTCGTGGGCCCGTCTGGGGGCCCTCTGGGACCGTTTTGGGTCCGTTTGGGGCGCCAGCGGCACCGTCTTGGGACGATATTGGGAGCCTCTGGGCCGTCTTGGGCTCGTCTGGGAGCTCTCTTGGACCGTTTTGGGCCAATTTGGGGCGCCTCGGGGGCTGTCCTGGGACGATCTTTGGGGCCTCTTGGGCCGCCTGCGGCCCGTCTGGGACGGAAAAGGGGAGAACACCCAAAAACATGTAAAAATCATGAGAAACCTCTTGAGGGCCCTCTCGGTCGGGGGCCCTCTTGAGGGCCGCTGGGGCCGTCTCGAGACTCTCTTGGCCCGTCAAGCAGCCATCTGAAGCTCTCCTAGGGCCGGCTTGGGGCCCTCTTGGGCCGTCTTGGGGCCCTTGGGCCGCTGCACCAACAAAAAAAAATATACAAAAAACGGGCCATGGGAGCCGCCCGGCAGCCTCTTCACTGGAAAAATTACAAAGGAAACGGGCCATTAGACCAATGCGCCCGGGCATCGCCCCTCCCCTGGACCCCTCCCTATGAGAGCTTCGCCCCCTGCTCAACGTCACTCGCTCGTACCTCGCTGTATCTGTCATCCGCCGCCCCCCCTTTTGCTTTAGCAAAGGGGTGCCTGGCGTGTTGAATCCTCTCGGTTTTGATTTTTGTTATTTTTCCGAAAGAACTCCCCTTGGGGCTCCGGCGCGTCCCGCCGGCCACCCGGAAAGGCGCTCAAAACGCATCCGTCGTGCCTTTATTTCCTCCAGTCCAAGACGGCCAAGATGGCCCAGGATGGTCTCCAAGACGTCTCCAAGACGGCCCAAGATTGCCTCCAAGACGGCTCTTAAGATGGCCCCAAGATGCCTCCAACACGGCCCAAGATGTACCCAAGACGGCTTCAGATAGCCTCAGGATGGCCTCAACATGGTCCAAGACGGCCCAAGAGGCCTCCAAGACGGCCTAAGAGGCCTCCAGGAGGTCCTCCATGAGGGCCCGAAGAAGCCAAAAGCATTGATGTTCCTCGGGTTTTTGAAGGATTTGGGAATTTGTCTCTTTTCGGCATTCCGACTGCTCAAGACGGCCCAAACAGCCCCCAAGATCGCCCAAGAGGCCCCCAAGAGGGCCCCATGACGGCCCAAGTGGCTTCCAAAACGGCCCCAAGAGGGCCCCAAGACGGCCCAAGAGGCTTCGAACACGCCCGAGATGGCCTCCAAGACGCCCAAGATGGCCTCCAAGACGGCCCCGAAGCGCCCCAAGAGGGCCCCGAGTCGGCCCAGAAATGCCCCCAATACGGCTCCCGACGGCGTCAGACGTGCCAGGAACCCACCAAGATGGCCGAACTTGGCTCGAAGTTGGCCCAAAAGGGCCTCCAGGAAGGCCAGAAAAGGCCAAACACATTGATTTTCGAACAGTTTTTAACAAAATGTGGCATGTGCTTCTTTTCGGCATTCCGGCGGCCCGAGACGGCCCAAGAGCCCCCCCAAATCGCCCAAAAATCGCCAACGAGGCCTCCAAGATGGCCCCAAAACACCCCAGAGGGCCCCAAGACGGCCTCAAGAGGCCCCCAAAACTGCATAGGAGGCCTTTAAGACGCCCGAGATGGCCTCCAAGACGGCCCTGGAGGGCCCCAAGTCGGCCCATAGAGGCCCCCCAAACGGCTTCCGACGGCGTCAGACGGACCAGGAGCCCACCAAAACGGCCGAACATGGCCATAAGATGGCCCAGGACGGCCCAAGAAGTTTGAAGGGGGCTGGGAGGCCCAGCCAGCAGCTTCGCCTCAAGCGAAGCCAAGCTCCCGCTTTGTTATACCGTACTAGCGATAGTCCCAGTATGAGAGGAGATGCCATCGCAAGCAGTAGGAAAGTCCTTTTGGTCTCGATAGCGATTGTGTACCTCGCAGTGAGGCACAATCATATTTGGGCGGCCGGCCGCTTGAGCCGACGCGGCCGAGGGCGCACGCTCGCTTCCACTCCTTACGTCCCTCAGCTCGCTTTAGAGTCAGGGGGGAGGGGGGCGAAGCGTGAGCCCGTCGCCCCTATACAGCAGGCAAATCAGCTAACATACACAAGGACAGAAAAGGAAGCGGGCCTAAAGGAAGGTGGACCGCTCGCAAGTTCCCTCGTTTGTGCAGTTCTGTACGTGACGCACTCATCAGGCGGCGTCAGAGCTTGATGTCTGGCTGGCCCGATACGGAGTATGTCTCTTCAGGTCATGTTTGAAGGTCTGTATACCTCCCATAACTTGTAGGAGCATTTCTCTGTCGATGCTCCCCTTGGTGTGGCCATCCGCAGTCATGCCGCGGGTGTCACACCACTGGATGCTACGCACGATTCCACGCTCCATCATCTGTCGTATCCAACTGATGTGTCCTAGATGGGTACACTCAACCGGCTTCTTCAAATCTTTGCTTGACAAGACTTAAAACATACTCAGCACCGATGGCCAAAGTGACCTTGATGCTCAGGCCACCCAACTCCAGTATATCTTTCAACAGAGTGGGCGTGAGCGGCCCTGCGTGGGGCTCGTGCAGAGTCGCAATCGTGGGATAACAGTCCTCCGAAGTATGGGCTGCTGCTAGTGTCTCTGCTGAATAGCTCGAGCGGGCCTGCAAGCGGTGAGACTTGCAGTGCGCATCGATCAAGTGAACGACAGGCTTACCGGATGACGTGTTTCCACGTCGTAGCAGTT